ATTTTTTTTATTTTATTTTTCATATGTGCATGATACGGATCAACCAATCAAATCACACAACAAACAGCAAAGGTGAACATAAAAGACAAATTTGACTTCATAGGGGTTTTTTGTTACATATAAGTCAGTCCAATGTCTTCATATATATATAACATATTATATATTTTTTTTTTTTACCTATTTTTCATCACAAAACTGGGGTGGGCTTAAGGGGGCTCAGCCTTTTTCAGGGGGATCTACCAAAATATATAAAACTGAATAGTTTAGGCCTCTTGTCCATGTGTTTCCCAATCATCACCCTTTGCCTTTGGCCCCTTTAACAATGTTACATAAATTGCAGTCTACTATTACCCACTGTTAATACCAAGCTATTACCTGGTTATTACTTTGGTAATTATTACCTCATTACCTTAAACTATTATCCCACTATTACCATGTTATTACCAGCTTTCTTGTTGTTAAGATACACCCTAATTTTGATATTCTGCCATTTTTTCAGGATGCCATAACTCTGAATACACAAGATCTTGAGCTAAAAACGCCTTCTTGGAAACTAAAGGGGCACTGCCAGGTCAGGGTGAGAGTGCGCCAAGCTAAAAAGCCAAACAGCCACTGGAGCAACTGGAGTCCAGCAACATCCTGGGTAGGAGCAACGGACATGGTGGGAACATTACAGGATCAAGGTAACAACACTTTTCATTTCCAGGTTGTTTAAGTGGAAACTAAAACAGTTCACAGGCTTTTTATGTGAATATCAACAGGACTAGTTGTAACAGTGAGACAGAGAGGTGATCAGAAGGAAAACAAAAAATAGTGAATGTTCATTTGACTTGTACATGCATTGTACACATTGTAATGTCGGCTCTCTGTTTCAGATTGGTTTCTGGATCAGACATCCCTGATAAGGTGGGGAGTGATGTTCATCTTCGGTCTCATCCTTGTTGTAATGCTGGTCCTTTACAAGAGCTGCATGAACAGAAGGTGAGTAAAATGTTGCTGTGTGTGTGTATGTGTGTGTGTTTCCATGCAGTATGTCTAATCTAATGGCTCTCTTTTGCTGTTTCAGGCTCCACAGAGGGAAACCATTACCAAACCCTTCAACATACTTCCACACGCTCCACTCTGTCCACGGAGGAAATCTAAAGGTAAAAATAAATGTTCTCACTAAGTCTTTTACCACTGTATCCTACCACATAGAACATTTTGACACGCATTAGAGACTGCAGGTGTTACCACAAAAAAATGTTCATACATAAATAACATTCAAGTATGATGATCTGTTCACTTTGGCCTCTTGCTGTTGGTCTACTGCGGTAGATGGATAAACATCAGTGAGTAATCTGTATTCAGTTACTAGTAACTAGTAACTCAGAAGAGTAAAAGATTTTATATTAGATTTCCTTTTTCAGTGACTGTGATTGCGTTTCTAACAGCCCTACAGCCAGGTCAGGAGCTGTGATATAACATAGTGTTAATGGCTTTTTAGCCTGCTGTACATTACGTATTAATGTTTTTTTGTTCCAGAAACAATTGGTCATCACAAGGACCAATGTTGGGCTAAAATCATGAAATGGTGCTGCTGTTAACAACTCCTGAAAGATTCACAGCCTCAAAAAAGACATAAAAGTATTCACCAAATCTAATAAATAGGCTGTTTTTGTTTTCTAATTATAACATGTAAAATAAAAAGCCTTAATATTCATTACAAATCCAATCTTGCTTTGCTTAGCTTTGTGTTTATACCTCGCATTGTTTATCCCCCACCTACCGACTGGGTACCTACCGACCGTACCCGTAGACCCCTGAGGTGTGCTTGTTATCATATTTCACAGGTGCTTTATTCTAACATTCCAGTTTTTCACTGGACTTTATCAGTCAGTGCGTTCTTAATGATTTCCTATTATTGTTTTCTGTTTTTTTATTTGTGCTTTCTATTTTCATTTTACACAATTTGCAAAATAACTGTAACTTTCCTAAACTAATAATAAAAAATATCTGTTTCTTGCTAGATTACTTTAATTACAAGGCTAATAATGTTTTGAGAAGAAGGGTGGGTGTTTCTTAGAGTAGTTTGTTCTTGGGGGCCCCAGCCTGTAATCCTTGTATATTAAATATGTTGGTAGGATGAGGGATAAAGGAGCACTCTGAGGTCAGTTTACTAGTCTTGAGGAGTACTACTCAGCCTGTGAAAACAGTTGCATATTATCTTCTGGGGCTTTGTCAGGATTATCTTGGCTTGGGCTTGTAGACCATTTGTTTATAACAGAAAGCCTGTTTGTGGGCGTTTGTTTATTTGTTTATTATAATAT